GGGTGGCGGGCCCGGCGCGAGCCCTCCTGCGTCGGGTGGCGGGCCCGGCGCGAGCCCTCCTCCGTCAGGCAGCCATTATGAGGGTCTCCCACTTTTCCTGCAGGAATTGTATTATTTATCATGGAGCATCAAACTGGGGCAGTGCAAACCCTGCAAGATGCCCCGGAACTACGACAAGGACGTCCTCACCTGACTTCTCCGAAATATAGTATGTAGTGACAGCTGGAAATGGGTGACAATAAAAGGGACAGACCTGCGTCCTGATTGCTGCGTTGTGGTTTTAATGGAGCTGCAGAAGTTGAGCAGTCACATGGTAAAGTGATGTCACACCTGTCGCGTGGTAAAGTGATGTCAGACCTGTCGCGTGGTAAAGTGATGTCAGACCTGTCGCGTGGTAAAGTGATGTCAGACCTGTCGCGTGGTAAAGTGATGTCACACCTGTCGCGTGGTAAAGTGATGTCACACCTGTCAATCTGTAGACTGCAGATAACTTGCCGTGTGTTCATAGTACTCCATCGCGTGCGTCGGATTTCATTCTTCGGCGTGGGTGTGTACGTGGATTGTGTCAGATAAGACTGAACTGTGTTTAATATTGTAATTATGCTTCAAGTGCTCTCGGTGACTGACGGGAGGAGGATTCTGGGCGGAGAAAGTTAGGCCGCTAGAAAGCACCGACATTCCATATTTAACTCCTCGCTGGATAACATTTAGTTTGTATCAAGAAACAATCCTATTTATTATTATTGAAATACATTTATATCTTTCCATCCTTTGTTCCATCTCAGTGCTGCTCGTCTCCTGCAGCCTCTTTGCAGCCATGTCCTGCCATGCACTCCAGTGATGGCGCTATACTGCTCTATACTATACATCTGCAATCTACTTTGAGATCTCGATTGACACAAACAAAGACATGAAAGATCACTGCTTCCCTCAGGGATAACCGTTGGATAGTTTATTTCATGTCGCGCTCACCGCAGCCCCAAGTCCTTCCCTGACCCCCTGATAACATCCGTGCAAAGAATGGATCCACGAGGCTTTGTTCCCCCCGATAATTAGGAGGTTAGCAGCTGCCCACAGACAACAGTCGCGTTTCCCTTGGTGAGTTTTGCACTATGACTGCCTAACGCTGATCTTCGGGTACAAAACAATTCACTTAAATATGTTACTTAGTGGTCACAAAGGATATAAATCCGCTTTGTGAGCCCCAAATGCCTTTGGAAACCCAGATATTACCCTGTAATAGTAGTTGTGACATCATCACTGTGCTGTACATATCCTGAGCAGAGCTGTGGGAGGGTCGTCCTGCACAAGGAGAGAGGAGCAGTGAGCGGTCTTTATTACAGGAGGGGGCGGAGACAAGACCAGTCACCCTGCACAAGGAAAGAGAGCAGCAGTGACCGGTCTTTATTACAGAAGGGGGTGGAGACGAGACCAGTCACCCTGTACAAAGAGAGGGAGAGCAGCAGTGACCGATCTTTATTACAAGAGGGGGCGGAGACAAGACCAGTCATCCCGCACAAAGAGAGAGCAGTAGGGACTGGTCTTTATTACAGGAGGGGCAGAGACAAGACCAGTCCCCCCGCACAAGGAGAGAGAGCAGCAGTGAGCGGTCTTTATTACAGGAGGGGGCGGAGACCAGACCAGGCCCCCTGCACAAGGAGAGAGCAGCAGTGACAGGTCTTTATTACAGGATGGGGCGGAGACGAGACCAGTCACCCTGTACAAAGAGAGAGAGAGCAGTAGGGACTGGTCTTTATTACAGGAGGGGCAGAGACCAGACCAGTTAACCTGCACAAGGAGAGAGAGCAGCAGGGACTGGTCTGTATTACAGAAGGGGCGGAGACAAGACCAGTTAACCTGTACAAGGAGAGAGAGCAGCAGGGACTGGTCTGTATTACAGAAGGGGCGGAGACAAGACCACTCACCCTGCACAAGGAGAGAGAGCAGCAGTGAGCGGTCTTTATTACAGGAGGGGGCGGAGACAAGACCAGTCACCCTGCACAAGGAGAGAGCAGCAGTGAGCGGTCATTATTACAGGAAGCTCCGAGTCTCACACTGGATGACTGATCTGGAAGTTATACACAAAGCTCACCGAGATTCAGGAAGAATACGCATGCAGGGACCGGTGAAAGGGGTTCTACCTACCCGGCTATATAATACAGTAGAATAAATAGGACATAAGTAAGATTTCCCCCAGAGACGCGCCACGTCTGAGCTGTGTGACCTTCATTGTATCTGTAATAACATAAGACAGAAATATGCGGTCTGGAGATAACGCGGAGTTTTATGACCGAGCTTTGTGTTCCAGCAGAGACCACATGCGGTGAGGACGCTCGGCCAGGAAGAGGAAGCCACCGGTCACAGCAAGGTAAACACTCGCCGCAACTGGCTGCTCTGCTGACACAAGAATGCCACTTATGTGCACTTCTTCCTCCCCGGCTCCCGTCTGTGCTGCCATGGCGACGTTCTGGGCCGTTCTGGCCGGTCTCCCCGCTCGCTGGAAATCTCGGCCTGGTCCAGCCCAGAGTCATTATTGTGCAGGTTTAATCCCACGGAGAGATTTTTGGCTGCTCGGGATTTATTACTCTGCGGAGAGCTGGGCTTTGACGCAATAAGACGGCGGCACTTCCTGATATCCCTTCTCTTCTCATTGGGTGGCAGCAGATCCCCCGCCCCCCCTGGATACTAGAAGGGAGGAAGGCAGCCTTACAGCTTGGCAGGAGGTCTGTAGAGTGACTGGAACTTCGGAGAAGGTGCAGCGCTATGGGGGCAGATCAGAGGGCTCAGTAGACGGGGCAGAGACACTATAGGACCCGTCCGAGAGGTACGGGCCCTGTGGGACGGCTCGGAGAGGGCACGGGCCCTGTGGGACGGCTCGGAGAGGGCACGGGCCCTGTGGGACGGCTCTGAGAGGGCACGGGCCCTGTGGGACGGCTCTGAGAGGGCACGGGCCCTGTGGGACGGCTCGGCACGGCCACGGGCCCTGTGGGACGGCTCGGCACGGCCACGGGCCCTGTGGGACGGCTCGGAGAGGGCACGGGCCAGCTTGGTTGGAGGTCTGTAGAGTGACTGGAACTTCGGAGAAGGTGCAGCACTATGGGGCCGATCAGAGGGCTCAGTAGAGAGGGCACAGACACTATGGGACACGTCCGAGAGGGCACGGGCACTGTGGGACCGGTCTGAGAGGGCACAGGCACTGTGGGACCGGTCTGAGAGGGCATGGGCACTGTGGGACCGGTCTGAGAGGGCACGGGCACTGTGGGACCGGTCTGAGAGGGCACGGGCACTGTGGGACCGGTCTGAGAGGGCACGGGCACTGTGGGACCGGTCTGAGAGGGCACGGGCACTGTGGGACCGGTCTGAGAGGGCACGGGCACTGAGACACACCTGAGAGGGCACAGATGCCATGGGACAGATCGGAGAGCGCACAGGCCGATATGGCAGATTGGAGGTGGCACAGGGACCATGTGACACATTAGAGAGGGCACAGGCTCTGACACATTGGTGGGGGCACAGGC